GTCAACATTTTACAGGGCTATCTTCTGCGTACTGACAAGCAGAATACAACAAAGGACACCTTATAAATTGATAGTGACTATTGCACAACATTTTGATCTGAAGCCACAAACAGGAAGTTATTGGCATGTAGAAGCATGCCTAATTACCATCAGCACTTTGCTGTTACTATCAAGTATCACAGATTGAATACATTCTTATCTGCCCTAAAATCATACTGGTAAGAGGGAAGTAAATTACTAATTTGGAGCATGAGTATTTCTTTGCAGCTGCTAAGAAAGTTTTGCATACTCATACAAAGTACTCTCAATTCTCTACTTCATTACGTTGTAAGCCATCCAACCACCTTCGCCTTTCCTCATCAAAAGTGGGTATGTTATGTTTGAGAACTACCAGCAGTAAGAAAACATTAGGCAGATAAATACATAACACCTGAATCAGTGGAAGAAAAAGGACGCTCTTGCAGCTTCAGTTTTCCTACACTAAATGCGACAGAATCAGTTCTGATAAATCAGTGCCTCAATTCTGGGAGAACTGGGTCTCCTGCCAGTTTCCAAACAACTAGGTCTTTGGGAACTCTCATTCTCAGCAACAGGAACTCTCATTCATTGCTGGTGGGAATGAAAATGGTACAGCCACACTGGAAGACAGTTTGATGGTTTCTTACAAAACTAAACATCCTCTTACCATATGATCCCCTAATTGCACTCCTCGGTATTTACCCAAAGGAGTTGAAAACTTATGTTCACACAAAAACTTGCACATGGATGTTTATAGCAGCTTTATTCACAATTGCCAAAACTTGGAAGCAATTAAGATGTCCTTCAGTAGGTGAATGGATAAATAAACTGCGGTACATCCAGACAATGGAATATCAATCAGCACTGAAAAGACATGAAGGAAGCTTAAATGCATATTACTAAGTGAAAGAAGCCAATCTGAAAAGGCTACATATGTCTGATTCCAACTATGTGACATTCTGGAAAGTGCAAAACTACGGAGACAATAAAAGGATCAGTGGTTGCCAGGGGTAGGGGGCAGGGGTGTGGAGAGAGAAACAGGCAGAGCACAGAGGATTTTTAGGGCAGTAAAAATGATTGATACATGTCATTATACATTTGTCCAAACCCACAGAGAATGCACAACACAGAGAACTGTAATGTAAACTCTGGACTTGAGGTGATTATGATGGGTGTATGTAGGTTCATGAGTTGTAACAAATGTACTACTCTGACGGAGGATGTTGATGACAGAGGAGACTATGCCTGTGTGGGGGCAGAGGGCAAATGGGAAATCTCTGTACCTTCCCCTCAGTTTTGCTGTGAACCTAAAACTGCTCAAAAAAATAAAGTCTTAATTTAAAAAAAAGACACCATTTATTATAATGGCAAAAAAGTATAAGGTAACTAGAAACAAATCTAACAAAAGATTAATAAAGCTTGTATTGGAAAAAATATATCAAATGTATTTATGCCATTCAAGAAGATGAAGATTTAAGTTTATGAAGATGCTGATTCTTCCCAAAATAATCTATAAATTCAATACAGCAAGATTTTTGCTAGAACTTATATGGACAAAATAAGAGCAAAGATTAGGCAAAGAATATTTAAAAAGAAGAACAAGGTGGGAGAATGTGTCTCATATCAAGACTTAGGAAGACAAATAAACCACAGAATAAAGAGTCCAGAAGTACCCAGCCAACTGTGGAAATCTTATAAATGACAGAGCTGGACTGCAAATAATCCTCCTTCCATCCCATTGATATATGAATTTATATTTCTAAATTACGTTTATAAAAATAATTGATCAAAATTTATATTACATTTTTGATTAATTGTGTGCCAATAATAAGTATAATTACTATTCAATTCAGAAGAAAATTTTAATATGTAAGAGCTTATGAAAACATAGTGAATTAAAACAAATACATTCTAATTTATTTAAACTTTTTTTGGCAGCAAAAAGATAGGGTGATCAATGAAAGACTTTTAAGCATATTGTATGCTTGAAATGATAATATATCACTATAACATTCTAGGGCAATATGGAATAGAAATAAGAGTTAGAGAAAAAGGAAAGACAATAAATTTCTGAGATAAGAATTTATGCATGAATTTTCTTTTAAATAAATGATTATGGGTATCAAAAACTAGAGTATTTAGATTCCATTAGATACATTTAAAAGAGCTATATAACAGTTTCCTTTAGAAAAGAAAAATATTTATAATCACTGGAAACCAAACCAAAACACCAACTAAAAGAGAGGTGGTATAGCTACACAACTAGACTAAGTTAATTTTAAGGCAAGAAACATCCTAGAGATGAAGAGATTCAATATCCTGTCAGGATATAACAATTCTAAAATTGTATACATCTAATAGTACAGCCTTATGATACATAAAGCAAAAATCAGCAGAACTAAATTGGGGAAATTTTAAAACACCTCTCTTTCAGTAACTGACAATAAAAGATGACAAAAAAATGAGTAAGGAAAGAGAAAATTTGAAGAAGAAAAAAAACGAAATAAAAAATTTGAACCACATGATTAACAACCTCAACCTAATTGACATACAGGGAGCACTGCACTCAACAAGTGCAGAATATACATGCTTTTCAAAAGACGGGAAAGATTTCATAAAATTGACTATATGTCTGGGTATATGGTCAATGGATTAATACCATATAGAATATGTCTCTAACTTCAGTGGAATTAAACCAGAAATCAGTAACCAAAAGGGAACAATAAAACTAGAAAATGTTTAAAAAAGTTCAAAATAAGGGTCAAAGAAGCAACCACAATGGAAATATCATATCCTGAGTGATAATTAAATCGTGACCTAAAAAAACCTGTGGATGCGATTACTCTGTAAAAACTATGTAGTACATCTATGAAATAAAAAGCAATATCATCAAAAATAAGATTAAAAATCTCATGGGGCCGGCCAGGTGGCAGAAGTGGTTAAGTGTGCGCATTCCGCTGTGGTGGCCTGGGGTTTGCTGGTTTGGATCACAGGCACCCACTGACGCACTACTTGGCAGGCCACGCCGTGGCGGCGTCCCATATAAAGTAGAGGAAGATGGGCACAGATGTTAGCCCATGGCCAGTCTTCCTCACCAAAAAAAAAAAAAGAGGAGGATTGGCAGATGTTAGCTCAGGGCCGATCTTCCTCACACAAAAAAATAATAAGATTAAAAATCTCAAAAAATGCCAGGTCAATCTTTAATAAATTTTAATATCTTGATGAAAGAAAAAATTTTCTAGGAACATGTACATTAACAAAATTATTCAAGAGAAGGAGAAAAACTTGAATAGAATAATCTTAGAAGACATTAAAAAGCAGGATATCTCTCCTCTCCTGAAAGATCTAGGCCCAGATCTTTTGGCATATGAAACATTTTCAAAACCTTAAAGGAACAAATAAAGTTTCTATTATCTAAACTGCTCCAGAAAAACAGAAATGGTATAAATCTTATTTAAATAAGATAATGCTAGCTTCTTTTAAAAAAAGTAAAAATGTAAAATGGCTCAAATATCATGGAAATTTATTTCTTGCTCACTTTCGCTGCTCCTATTCAACAGTATTCAGAAGAGTAAAAATTTGTTAAAGAGACAAAAACATAATTAATTTCAAACGTCTACCTAGAAAACCCAAGAGAAATAACTGAAAAGCAACTGGAATAAGGGAGTTCAATACAGTGGCGGCACACAAAATAACCATTCAAAAGTTAATATCTTTAGGAATCATCAATTAGAAAATATAATGGTAAAAAAAAAAATCCCATTTCTAATAGCATCAAAAACTACAGCATATCTATTCAGACCTAACAAGAAATATTCAAGACATATATTAAGCAAGATTTAATTCTCTTCCCAAAACATCAACAAAGACCTAAATGAATGGAGAAATAAACCATGTTCATTCTTCCCAAACCATCTACTAAATTCAATGCGATTCTAATTAAAAAAAAAGTCACAGTTGAATTTTTATTACCATGGCAAAATGGTTCTAAAGATTATCTAGAAGATCTAAATCAAGAAGTTAAAAAAAAAATTAAGGACTTAACCTACCAGATAACAATGAACCTAAGACTATAAAGCTAGAATAATTAAAATAATAATGTACTGGCAGAGAGAAATGAATCAATGGAACAGAGTGCTGGGCCTAGAAACAGATCTGTGTATCTGGAGAGAAATTTAGTATATGATAAAGTTTGTATTTCAGATTAGTGGCAAAAGTGGAGAAGGATGGTTATTAAATATATCATGGTGGAACATGGACAAGTGGTTATCAATTTAGGGCACTACCTTATCCATAGACAAGAATAAATTTAGAGTGAATTAAATATATAAATTATATATAACATAAACTGGGAAGGCCTTCCTCAATAATATAATAATATCAAAAATCTATCACGAAAAGGACTGAAAGATTTGACAACATAAATGTCAAAGTTCTGTAGAACAAATGACTTCTAAAGTTAATAGACTTTGCAATTTCAATTTGCATAAAGCACAAAAACAGGCAAAACCAATCCATGCTGTTGGAAGGCAAAAGAGCAGTGATCTTGACTGAGGGACAGAGAGGGAGAGCACTAGTAATTGGAAAGGAACATGGGAGTAGGAGAGCATCAGGGTCCTGGTAATGTACTTCTTTAACGTTGTGCTTTTGATTTTGGATGCTGATTACATGAGGTTGGTTCAGACTGTAAAATTTCAGAGTATATACTTATGATAAGAGTACTATTCTGTGTTAAATTTAGGGATGGGAGTAGCATGTGGGGACAGTGAGAGAGGAGGATGGAGGAGATCAATATGTAATTTTACTTTCGATTTTAAATTAATCTGTATTGTATGTATTTATCCAAGAAGCATGTATTATTTGCATAATTTATTTTTTAAAAAAAGATAAAAATGAAAAAAAAAAGCTTACATATATGACACATAACATTCAAGACTCATGATTTAAGTGCAATCAAGATAATTCTATAGGGCATACTCTACCTGTGACTCAAGTATGTTGGAAATATCATGTGCATCAATATTTACTTCATCCAACCGCAAGCAAAACAAGTTTCTGGCAACCTGGACAAAATCTAAAATGGAACACATTTCACTAATAACACAGTATTTAACCTCATCTCAATAAATCTTACCTTTTTATACATGAAGTTGAAGCTATGTGTTATAACTAATGCTTAACATTTAGCTTACTTAAATAAATTATCTTAAAATAGTATTAACTGAAGTGGCAGATAAATATAAGTTCATATAAGAAGTAAGAAATCAACTGGTTTTAACTTCATTTAACTTTGCTGAAGTTAATAAACCAGTTAAGATAATAAAGCAAATACATATCACAGGCATAACTATTTCTCCAACTCTTTTATTATGAGTAGAACTTTTTTTGAAACATATGACAATATTATGATTTACAGCTTTTCTAGCTGGAAGAACCGGAGGTTTAATAATAATAATAATAATAATAATAATAATAATAATAGCTTGGATGGCAACCAGACTTTTGGTGGTGAAATAAATAAATAAGAGCAGCTAATATTTATGTAACAGCTTGCATGTGCTAGGCATGGGGCTTTGCAATTTCATCATGAGCATCTTCTGAAGTAGGCCCTCTTATCCTCTCCATTTTACAGTTTGGGGCTAAGATAAGTTAACCGCCTTAAACTCCCCAAGGCTGCCCAGCAAACGAGCAGCAAAGCTGCATTGAAGGTCCAACGCAAAGGCGTCTGCTCTTGATGGTTACATGCCACTGCCTGACGCAGGCCTAGCAAACTATAAGCTTCTTCGGACTCGGAGTGTGACCTATTCGTCTGTGTAGCCTCACATTTCTTCATTTTGGCTACTATATTTTTAATTTCCAGGGATCCTTTTAACGTTCTGATTGTTCCTATTTTACAACACCTACTCTTATTTCATGGATGTCTTATCTTTTTAAAGATGTTAATTATGGTTTATCTGAAGTTCTCTTCTTCTGATCTTGGCAATATTTTCCTTTTTTTTGAGTCCCTCTTTTCTCTATTTGTCTGATAGTTTTGGGCTCTATATTTTATGCTGGAGGATTTCTTCAAATGTCTGTTGACCCTTGGCTATGAGTTCATATTTAAGAAGAACCAGGCGCTAAAACGTTGATTGGAAATTTTCTGTGCAGAACTTGCCTTGTCAACTGGTGGGTTTCAGTACAGAGCAATCAGGTGGTCAGCTGATATTTTTGTTCAGGTTCTTCAGAAAGAATCCTACACTCTCTTACTATAGAGTATAACATGGCTGCAAATTTCACTGAGCAATCTGGGTGTGTGTTGTGAATGATAGCTCACCATACACTCCCTCCAAATTCCCTGGGTGCTGGCAACTACGGGTCCAGAATCTCTCTGGTTTAATCTCAAAAGAATATGCTTATTTTCCTCTGCAGGTGTAAGGGAGTGAGTGGTAGTTGCTGGATGGCCTAAGAAGGGGCAGGGAATAGCATATATAATTACTCCTTATACAGATTTCTAACAATCTTGTTTCAAAGGCCCTGCCTAAGCCCAGCCTTCAGAAGTACCTGATGCTTTCAATTCCTAAGCCTTTTCAGGGACAAATCAGCCTACTCCCCATTGTGATTCCCCTAGCTCTTCAGACACTGGGGCTTACCTGCCTCTGCTCACTAATTCATTTACATTCCTCATCCACTTTCTGTCCTTATATATTGTGGTTTTAGATATACATGCAATTCTGTTTCTTATTCTCCTTATTATTTTGGGTGATTTTCAAAAGGAGAGGGGAGCAAATACGTCTTTTTTCCATCACTTCAAAACCAAAAAGTGAATTTCTTTTTTTAGCAATACAGATATTTTTAAAATGATACAATGTTGTATCTACTGTATAAGAAAAACATTTTAATACTTAATGCTGTCAAGGATACAAAAAACTGTTATATTCAAATATTATTATTGGCAGAACAAATGAATGTGTAAAATGTCTCTGGAAATCAACTTATCAATACAAACAAAAGTCCAAACCATTTATACAGATTTAGAAGGAAAAAAGCTATGATATTAAATATAGAATTATTTATAGTATCAACTACTGAGAAACCACCAAAATTCCCAGTAGTGGAAAGGCTTAATATTATAGTACATCAACTAAGTATGTCAACATTACGCTACCTTTAATAATTATACAGCATCATAAAAATATTTATTATATCATCTTAGCTGAAAAAAAAAAGGGAATTTCACAGTAGCAGAATTAGGAGTTCTACACTTTGTACTGTTTTTTATTATTCCTAAAGCAATGTTTATGCAATAAATAAAAAATTTAAAAGAATATGATAGAACGATGATATTTTAGAGCTGAAAGAGTCTAAGAAAGTTCTCCTTTCTGCTGACCCAGCCAGGCCAGTAATTCTAGCTGAGTACTGATTAAGGAACTTGAAACAGACGTGGTCTTATTTCTCTCTCTCCTTCTACAGAGGCACTCTTAATGAAAATGGGTCACAATAACTCTTCCACCAAGTTTCTGCGAGGCTACAACAGGACAAACCCAATATTACCTCCAAAAGACACCGTCCCCTCTGGGTCTACTTGCACTTGCTGTCTCAGGGCTTGCTGTTGTTCCTTTGTGGGCTGAATACCAAGATAATTTAGAGCCTGGAAGCAAAAAGATTCATGTGAAGCAATTTTTCAAATCTCCAAAGAATAAAGCTTTTCATTACAAGTTTATTTTACAACCCAGTGAAAAGAATCAATATCAGGAACAGTGAACAGAATTAGATGCCCAAAGAAAGTCTGCTGACTATTTATGGATTCATTTTCTATAAAATATTAACTTCCTGATGCCACCACCACCTCAGTTTTTTTTTTTTCCAAGGGTAGCACTTTGGCTAATGTCAAATTCATACGCATAGCCCTAGAACCAAAACTCAAACAATTTCTTAGTTTAAAATATGTGATATGGCAGTAGAAAAATAGCAAGGAAATTTTATTAAATCCAATTTAACATTAATTTCTATAAGTAACACTCTAAAACATGGATATTGTGTTAATATCTTGTACTTGAGACCAAAACTAAAGTTGATAGGAATTGGGTTAAATACAAAATACTCCAATTTTGGGCTTGTTTATGGGCAGGCTTACACAAATAGTAAACTAAAAAGCTTTCTCTGGAACCCACTTCTCACTACCTTCTCCTTTTAGTACCCACAGCTGATTAAAAATTCAGAGACTGGGCCGGCCTGGTGGCACAAGCGGTTAAGTGCGCAGGCTCCACTGTGACAGCCCAGGGTTTGCCGGTTCGGATCCTGGGCATGCACCGAGGCACTGCTTGTCGAGCCATGCTGTGGCAGCGTCCCATATAAAGTAGAGGAAGATAGGCACAGATGTTAGGTCAGGACCAATCTTCCTCAGCAAAATGAGGAGGACTGGCACGGATGTTAGGTCAGGGTTGATCTTCCTCACACACAAAAAAATAATAATAAAATAAATAAATAAAAATAAAAATTCAGAGACTGCCAGTTGTATTCCAATGTCCATTCTCTCCTTGTTATTTAGTTACAGAACCACAATTTTTAACTGGAAACATTGTCATCCAGCTAAAAAATATTTTCCAGCCCCTTTTGCAGCTTGATGAGGCCATGTGACTATGTACTGACCAAGGAGAGATAAGGCAAAGTGCTGTAGGTACTTCTAAGAAGTCTTTCAAAAATATGGGTAGGCACTTCTTGTCCCTTTTCTTTCTCTCTTTGGGAAGAAAGGAAAGAGGGAATGAAAGGAGGGAGGGAGGGAGGAAGACAGGAAGAAAAAGATTGTTGGAATTTAAGCAGTCATCTTGGTTCATGAGCTACCTCAATTAAGATGGTGCAGCAGAAAGATAGTTGGAGCATGGGCCCCTGACACTGTGGAACCTCCATGCCAGCATGGATTACCTTCTTTCAGGCTTCTTTGGGCATGAGAGACATAAATTTCTAATGGAAACCACTGTTATTTTAGGTTCTCCAGTTATATATAGCAAAACCTAATCTTAACTAATGGATAGGGCCTGACTGGATCCTCTATTTTTTTTTCCCCCCAAAGCCCCACTAGATAGTTGCATGTCATAGTTGCACATCCTTCTAGTTGCTGTATGTGGGACGCAGCCTCAGCACGGCCGGACAAGCGGTGTGTCGGTGCACGCCCGGGATCTGAACCCGGGCCGCCAGTAGCAGAGCACGTGCACTTAACCGCTAAGCCACAGGGCCGGCCCTGGATGCCCTATTATTGGATTCTGGCAAGAACATATTCTGTGTCAATCATATCAAAAGTAAAACATAGGCAAAGTTTAATACTGGTAACTGTCCTTTATAAATTTCTTCCTCCTTTGGAATCTGTTCAGTCATTCATCACTTCATTTACCAAATATTTAGTGCTTACTATTTGTCAGGCACTAAACTATGCAAATGGACACTCAAACAATATAGAGCCACTATCCTCGAAGAGCTTATGGTCTCTAGGGTGAGAATAACATGTAAATAAATATAATTAGTGCAATATGTAAGTTAATAGAAGTGTGTACAGAATATACTATGGCAAAAACAAACTGGTTAATGTATAGGTGGCTGGGCACCAGGAGAGGAGACAGGTGGAAGAACATCAGGAAAGATTCCTTCAAAAGTGGTTCTAGAGCTGAGTCTAACATCATCTGCCTACCCTGTCTACACAGTCATAAATATTTGTCTTGCATAACATGGAATAATGATTCTCAACTTTTGGTGTTCTTTTCCTTCAGTCATAAAAATGTTCCAAATATACCAAAAAAAAAAAAGGAAAGAGAATATACAAAGAACACCCATGTACTTGCTATCATCAAATACTCATTGATATTTACTTGAAATTTATATATATATTTTAAGAGATAAATATTATAGACTTGGTTGAAAGCTTTCTCCATTGTTCCTCAGCAGGAACCACTATCCTAGGGTTGATGTATCCATCCTGTCTATGATCTGATGCCATTACTCCATGTATCCCCTAATAATACATATTTAAATATACTTAAAATTTTACATGAATAGTATAATACAAAAGGATAACTTTGCAAATTATTTTTATTTTTACCTCAATGTTATGATTTTATAATTGCTCAATATTATCTGCAAAACTAGTTCAATTATTTTAACTTTAAATGGTATCCTACTGTATGAATATACTGTAATTTATTATCCATTCCCTGATTGATGAGCTTTTATAATTACTCAATCTGTTTTTATTACAAAACACTGAATATGTCTCCTTGTATAGATGTGTAGAAATTTCTCTACAGTACATCCCTTGAAGAGGAAATGCTGAGTCATAGGTTATATATACAGTCAACTTTGTTGGACATTGTAAAATAACTCTCCAAACTGGTTGTACCAATTTATGCACACCACTAGTATATAAGCACTTCCATTTTTCTACATTCTTAACAGCATTCGCTGTTTTCACACTTTAATTTTTGTCAATATGTTGCATATGAAATAGTTTGTTGTTCGTTAATTTGAATTTCCCTAATTACAAGTGAGATTAAACTTCATTTACATGTTTATTAGCAAGGATTTTTACTCATAAATTATTTAACAATATGTTTAAAATTTTTATACATAGAATTTTAAGAAGTATCTTTTTTAGTGATTCCTAATTTGGTGGCATTCTCTCAATTGTGAAAACCAAAAATATCTCCAGACGTTGCCAAATGTCCCCTGAGGCAAAAAACCCACATCTCTGTCCTTAAGAACCACTGCTCCAGAGACAAACACTATTAACAGTCTGGTGTCTAATTTTCCTGATCTTTTTTCCTATGAATATAGCACCTATATATAAAAAATATATAAATTATATATTTTTTGGAAAAAATTAAATTATACTATATACAGTGTTCTATGTTTTTAAAAAATTATCAGTATATCACAGCTTTCAATTCTGTACATTTTAGGTCTTTGCATGCTTTTTAAAATTGTTGTAATAGTACATTAAAGCTTAGCATTTAAGTATATTTACCTCAGATTTGGATGTAACAAAACATTGCAAAAGCCCCTTCTAAACTTCTCCTCAGAGGTAACAACTGTTGTACATTTGGTTTAATATTACCAAGCATTCTATTATATAACATTTGATATATAGTAAAAACATATATGTAACAAATATATGTTTTAAAGCAGGACAATAAAATAAAACATCCATGAATCCATTTTAGAATTGCTAAACTTATTTCACATACTCCTGTCCTGCTCCACCAGAGGTAACCACTACTAATGAACTGTGTGATTATCATTCCCATACTATTTATTTTAAAATGGTTTGTTACATACTTACATATCCCTAACATACTATTTTGTTTTGCTGTTTTTAGCTTCATAAAACTGTTGCAGGTAGTCTTCTGAAACTTGCTTTTTTCACTCTACTGTATGGTTTTATCATTCATCCATGTGGTTATATGCTACTATAACATTAATATATTCATTTTTTTCATTTTCACTACTAAATATATTTGATTAGATTAATATGTCACAATTTATCTGTCCATCCTCCTGTAGACGGTCATTGGGGTTTTCTGCTTGGTAATGCAGAAATGCAGCAATGAACATCCTTGTACATATCTACTATAGCACATGGGTAAAAAATTCTTTAGGGTATACACCTAGGAGCAGTATTGGTGGGTCTTTTTCTGATTGATTTATAGGAGTTCTTATATATTTTGGATACTAGCATTTTACATGTTATGTGTATTACAAATATTTTCTCCCAGTTTTTGGTATACCTTTTCACTTTTTTATATTCTCTTTTTATGAGTTTCTTACGGACAGTTCCTAGGCATATTTTTATACCATTACTTCATATTTTTATAAATATATATGATGAATAGTTTAAAAAATATTTTTAAGTTTTGACTTTTATATAAACGGTACCATACTGTACATATCAATATGTGACTTTTCATTTTATTAATAACAGATTTATTGAGCTATAATTCACATACCATAACGTTCACCATTTTAGTGCACAGTTAAGTGGATTTTAGCACATGCACAAAGTTGTGCATCCATCACCAGTAACTCTAGGAAATTTTCATCACTCCCTAAAGAAAAGTCATACTCATAAGTAGTCACTTGCTATTTCCCTATCCTCCCAGCCCCAGGCAACCACTAATCTATTTTCTGTCTCTATGGATTTGCCTATTCTGGGCATTTCATATAAAGAGAATCGTACAATTTGTGGCTTTTTGCATCTGGTTTCTTTCACTTAGCCTAATGTTTCAAGGTTTACCTACGTTGTAACATATATCAGAACTTCATTCCTTTTATGGCCCAATAATAGTCCATTGTATGTATATACTACATTTTGTTTACCCTTTTTAAGCTAAAAAAGATGAATCAGAAATAAAAGTTAGGAACAAGATACTATTATAAAAATACTAGGTAGATAATAAATTAGAAACTCAATGGGTATGTGAAATAGCAGATGGCTGCAAAGAGAGACAGTGAACTAGAGAAACAATGCCTCACTAAAGCTAAAATCCTGGGAAATAATAAGCGTAGGTGTAAGTTGCAAAGAGGCTAATCAGAGTTAGAGTGTTATAAGTGCCTTCTATGCCTGAAAGAAGGGTAAAGATTCTCATTAACTTTAGACTGGAAATATGCATGTTAACATTTTAAGGTAATCACTAGAAGAATAGTAAGAGAAGACATAATTTCTAAAGAAGTTGGAGGAGAAGAAATAAAACGCAAAAACAATCAACCAAAAATCAAATATAATCAAACCAAATACAATAAAGAGAGGAAAAAAAGTGATAAAAAAAGAAGAAAAATTTTAAAAAATAAGATGGTAGAAATAAATCAGAGTGCATTATAATGAGACTAAATGTAAATATGTGGGGCAACTGGAACTCTTACCGAAGACGAGTGGGAATGAAAATTGGTAAAACTGCTCTAGAAAACAAGTCGCCAATCCAACAATTACTTTCTGAGCATTTACTATGAGCCAAGCATTTTTCTAGGAGCTGGAGAAACAAGTGAAAATTGTAGCAACCTCAAGTAAAGTTGAAGATAAACTCTTCGACCTCATAATATTGTAGTAATCAATTTTTAAAAGCATATAAATGGTAAACTCAAAATTTAGAATACAGTTACCTCTTGGGGAGCGGAGAGGGATATATGATCAGGAAGAAATACAGAGGCAACGTCAAAAATTCTCATTCTTAGCTGGGTGGTGGGTACATGTGTGTTTGTGTTATTATTCTTTAAACCATACCTGTAAAACATAATCATGCTTGGGTATGACTGATATTTCATATAAAGAAATAAAAACAATTTTACAAAAGTAATGCAACTAAAACACCTATCACAGAAGGTACTCAATATATGGTGATTCTTATTATAAGTAATAATAAAATAATAAAATAACAGTATCAATTGATCTAGAGCTAAAGTTAGTAATAGGTGAAAGTTTTGTTGAAAGTAAAATTTACTCTGGATGAATACAGCATGTCAGTGAGGTAAGCTCATAAATTTAAATTGGAAGTAATTTATTTTTAATCAAAACGTAGGTTCCAATAATTTCTTGAATAACTAATGTCATCTTTTAACCTTAAACAAAAATACAAATTTGCTAATTGGACAAACAAATGTCCTTAACTTTTTCTGATGACTGAATGGTGAATTTAAAAAATCTCACTTTAAAATGTTAGTCACATACTTCCCAACCTAATACAAAGAACATCTCATTAACTATAATCAGACATTGGGTATGCCATCCCTCACTACAGCTTTCTTCAAATGTTACAGAAATGGCAAGAGGTAAAGGAAATATCAGCGAAATGGCATCTTTATCCCAAAGCACCTTTCTCAGGTATAAAAATACAGATAGTATAGAGGGGCAATAATTCTTCATCTTCAAGCTAACTAATAAACTGTACCCCTATTTGCTATGTTTACCATACCCACTTGTAAGTTTAATGTTAGGATCAAATGAGATACATAGTACTTGTAAAAATACTTTGAAAAAACACAGCACTACAAATAACTGAGGTGAAATTATTTTAAAATATCTGTATATAAAATCATTCTCAGAGTATTCATAGAAGAGGCAATCCATTTTTCAGACAAAGAATTAACAAATAACTAGGTCAGTGTTAGAAATCACTTTCCAGTATATCCTGATATAAAACTGTCTACTTAGACTAGTAAGACATGGAGGACTTCATGAAGACAATGCCAAACATACATATGTCTTGACAGGTAATTTTCTTCATCAAATTTTTTTTTTTTTTTGGTGAGGAAGATCAGCCCTGAGCTAACATCCATGCTGATCCTCCTCTTTTTGCTGAGGAATACCGGCCTTGAGCTAACATCTATTGCCAATCCTCCTCCTTTTTTTTTTCTCCCCAAAGCCCCAGTAGATAGTTGTATGTCATAGTTGCACATCCTTCTAGTTGCTGTATGTGGGATGCGGCCTCAGCATGGCCGGAGAAGCGGTGCGTCAGTGTGCACCCGGGATCTGAACCCGGGCCGCCAGTAGCAGAGCGCGTGCACTTAACCGCTAAGCCACAGGGCCGGCCCTCTTCATTAATTTCTTAAAAATTGTACTGAGTAGGCTAATTACTTAACAACCACATAATCAGTCAACACCTTCTCCTCATGAAATCTTATTATATTACCAATTTTCTGGATACTTTGTGCAATATATTTATAGAAGATAAAGGAAAAAGATATAATTTTATTACATTTTAAATACTTGATCACACTGGCCTTATCTACTACCGAACAGAAAATATGTTAAAAATGTAATGGACAATAAAGTTGAATCTGTCTACAAAGTAGCAACTAAATTACCAGAACCTATTTCAAATTAAAGTGACACAGATATTATCATATTAACATGTAACTATCCAAAAAACCAAGAGTAGCTTAGGAAATATTTGGGTGTATGGTAACCAATAGGGATTTTAGAAAAAAATTTTCATTAAGTGAAATATAGTCTCAAACTCTGAACACAAAGAATGCTCTACTAATTACAGTCACTAAATGTAATTTGAATAAAAGCAGGGAAGCTTAATTTACACAGAATATGGGTTTCCTTTGCTGTAAAACTGCCATTTTATTTTTCTACAAAAATAATAAACTTGCTTAGGCTATAAGGAGGACCAAAATTGGAATTATGATTCAATAGTCAAGCAACTCATAATTCACAGAATCAACAAATTTATATGATTTCCATATCTCTGGGAATACCAATCAGATTAAAAAAAATATCATACGCTAGGAAAATTTAAACCAAGTAAAAGAACAAAGGCTGACAGGTAAAGTCACTAGCTAGATAATTTTCTCCTTATCCAGAGGAATACTCTGTATTACATCTTGGATATTCATTTTTTTTTTTTTTGTGTGAGGGAGGTCAGCCCTGAGCTAACATCCGTGCTAATCCTCCTCTTTTTGCTGAGGAAGACGGGCTCTGTGCTAACATCTATTGCCAATCCTCCTCCTTTTTTTCCCCCAAAGCCCCAGTAGATAGTTGTGTGTCATAGCTGCACATCCTTCCAGTTGCTGTATGTGGGACATGGCCTCAGCATGGCCGGAGAAGCCATGCGTCAGTGCGCGCCCGGGATCCGAACCCGGGCTGCCAGTAGCGGAGCGCGCGCACTTAACCGCTAAGCCACGGGGCCGGCCCAGGATATTCATTAATGTATACTAAAGCAGCATCATTAAAAAACAATAATTATTAACTTATAGGTATGTTTTTAAACCTCAAACATTCTATTTTTGGAAAGTGTTCACATTAATGGATTATAAACCTTGTCATTAGTCAGAACTTACATTTTAGCCACAAATGAAAAGAAAGCACAAGTTAGCAAAAGATACTTAGGATTCTGTAAATAACATCTCCAGTATCTAATTAATTGGAAAGTTTCACTGAGCAGAAACCAGGTGTTTAAACAGTGGTAGGTACATGGGTATTGTTGTAATGAAGTTTTATCACATTGATAAAACAAGATACATGAAAGATTACAGAGTATTACAAAGCGATGTTAAGTGCTACAGATGTACAAAATAAGGCAACATTGGCCCAAACTATAATAGTTAGCAAAGTCTGGATGAAGGAGTTGGAATTGAGTCAGAACTTGAACAATGGGTAAGATTCAAATTGGCAATGAAAAGGGTATTGTTATAAGACCATGCAAAGGTATGGATATGTCAATAAATGTAATGTGTATTTATTCTAGCTATGCATTTTCATACTCTTCCTAAAATGTAAAAAATCACTATTCACAAAATACTGACAGGAGAGCAGAGGCTGTGGACCTTCAGCACTATATCCATTTTTATATTTAAAAAGACGTAGCACATTTTTCCTGTCAGCTCCCAGGTAATCTGATAGGCAAACTTTTAAAATGCTTTACTTTTAATTTTCCCTTTTTAATCATCTTAAGTTTCTTTTACATATAGAAACTGTTGATACTTTACTTTCCCCAGGACTACTTTTTGGTGCCTTAATACATTGCTATCATCTGCCTTGTATTTAGTGAGCATCTGACGACCTTGTTCTTTAGGATTTAGTTTCCCTTCTTGAAAAATTAAATAACAGAGTATTATTATATATAATAATGGGGTATTTCCTTGCACTCATTGCTATCACATATGAAGTCTACCACACTGTCATAATTTGTTCCATGTTTCCTTTGATTCTACATTGTAAAACATCACATTTGTCTTATTCCCACACAGGAGGAAACTGATTAATTTGAATGTCAATTTAGTTATCAAAGGTTTTATTTCTATTTTGTACTAGTGAACTACCAGGACGGTCCAACTCAAACATAAATTAAATAATTTAAACCCAAACCGCCATTCATTCAAACTGTAAGTAAGTAACTCTTCAAGAAACTAATGGCTCCAGTCCTTTATCTTCTCAAAGAATGAGACTATTTCCCTGCTGTTGTTTCACGGAGGGAAAATGGAAACTTAAAATCTTTACCATTTCCAGTTTCTCTGCCTTAAGGCGAACACAGGGATTTAGGAAAATCTTCTTTTCTTGTGGTCCATAATTATCAGTCCACGCAGAGGCAATATCTAAGAGACAACAGGGTGCACATTAATTGGAAATTTAATTGGAATAGAACTTTTCATTTGACAGTATGTGTTCTGGGCTCCTGCTGTTCAAAAATAATTCTGGCTAATCAGTTGGCAGTTTTCACGATTTTTTTCCTTTAAATCTAAAATGTATCATATAAACCAGCTTCACTTGAGACCTAAAAGATACGATATAAAAAGAGTGGCCAAATATGCATTAAGTTCCACGGAAATATTAATTTAAAAGACAAATATACGTCCCACCACTACCCTGTCATCACAATGCCTTAGTAATTGTAAAATGAAAAGTCTTTTTTTGGGGCTGGCCCGGTGCCATAGTGGTTGGGTTCCTGTGCTCCGCTTTGGTGGCCCGGGGTTTGCGGGTTTGGATCCGAGGAGTGGACCTGCATACCACTTATCAAGCCATGCTGTGGTGGTGGCCCATATAAAGTGGAGGAAGATGGGTACGGATGTTGGCCCAGGGCCAATCTTCCTCAGCAAAAAGAGGAGGACTGGCAATAGATGTTAGCTCAGGCTAATCTTCCTCACTAAAAGAAAAGTCTTTTTTTTCTTTCAAAATAAGTAAAATCGTATTAGAAATTCAAAAAGATCATGGTATTTCTTTGACTGGCAAAAGTGGTTTTGTTCTGTGAGTTCTGGAGTTACCTTGTAAAAACTCATAAATGCAAATTGTTTCAAGTTGGCACAAACAGTATGATATAGTAGCTTCAGAACTTCTTGAACTAAAATCCTGTTTCTTATTTTACAGAAGGGTTATATTTCAAGTAGCATAAATAGACTTTCAAGAGTTAAATTTCATATACCTCTCACCCATTCTCTAACACCTTCTCAATATACCTAGATTATTGAGCTAAGCCTTTGTCCTTGGTGCATAAGAAACCAGGTGCCACGAGGGAGTAGAACTTGAAAAATTATTTGTTTTAATACGCCAGAGTTTTTATAACAAATTCCTGTAATTCATGTCAATTCTTATATCTAAATTGTCACTATTCTAAATACACTTTTAAATGGTATTTTACTAGTTCTACATAGAAACAAGAGGAAGAGAAAAAACTTTTTAAAATGTCACATCTTTATGCAGTGTTTTAATTTTTTTTTTATTTCTCAGAGCATCTGTCTCTAAGTACAAAATGATTTGCATTCTCTTTAAGAACATAAGAAGTGCATACGAAAATAAATAGTCTTCCTCTAAACCTTTAACACATCCTTAACATTCTATATAAAATCTTGAATATAGCTTATAGGTGTCAAGATCATAAAAAAAGAAGAGAAAGGTTACTGACTTTTAGCTTCAAATGGAATCAAACCTTGAGAAAGACTGATTTTAGTACAATAGAATTTTTACAATTCTGATAAAAGCAACAAAGTCTCCTTTGTTATCATGATACTTCATCATTGGCCATGGGCTAAAGAATACTATATATTTTTTTTTCTCTTAAAAGAAATTCTGTGCCAGAGTTAAAGTGTGGCATAAAAGATCATCATGGATTGGAGTGGTATGGAAGCCCAAACAGCAGATAAGTCAAACTTTACTTTTCATTTTTAAGGTTTGGATTTGTGTGGCTTGACACATCGACTTTCAGCTTGGTGCTACATTTAAAGCACACTAACACTAGGTGGACCCAAGCTAATCTAATTATGGTCTCAGACCAAGACTAACTAACCCTGGACATGAATTACTCAATTCAAGTGTAAGTGTGTGGAAGGGTTGGAGAGGGGACGAGAGAGAGAGCAGAAAGAGAGAGGGAGGGACAAGTACACACACAATATCTACACCCGCTAAGATGGGCATTTTCACTTAGGTTTTCCCACATCCAAGCATAAAAATTTGCTATGTGTAACAATGAAAATAACAGAAGATTAGCTCTTGTTTATACTTACTTAAGCCAGGCAGTGCACTAAGTACTTTACATATATAAGTTCATTAATCTTTACAATAATCACAATGACATAGGTGTTATTATTCCCATCCCAAAGATGAGGGGAAGAAACTAGCCCAAGATCATTCAGCTAGTAGGTGACCATGTTAGGATTCTAATCTCTCCTGACTCCTGAAGCTAATGTTCTTAAATATGTCAATATCTTTCATCATCAGTTTTCTCACCTGTAAAGTAGCAAGAATAAAGCAGCCCACCTTACAGGAATTGTAAGGATAAAATAAAAAATTAGAGAAAACTATAAAGTATGTATTGTTAATACTGGCACAGAGACATTGTATTTAAATAGGAGATTTAATGTAAAATTGTACTAACCCCCTCATTTAACAAGATGCAATCATGGCTTAACAAAATCTCACTTATTTCCAGCTAACCTTCCCCTAGATCTTTACCTCCAAGCCAAAACCTTAGGAGGACCTGTGTATAAATCCAGCATGCTTTGATAATCAGAGTAGCTAGACCTGAAAAGCCCCCTCACAGACACAACGCTTTGCGCCTTCGCCAATGGCATCTCTCAACTCCTGCCTCAAGCTCCTTATTTGTTCCTCTCTGGGGCAGTGAGACTTTTCAAACACTGGCTTGTTATTTTCTTGGATCTGCTCTTCCTATTCCTCTTTTTAGGAGGAGAAGAAAGGGAATGTGTTGTAAGGGCAGGATCAATACCATTTGGTAAAGACCATGAATCCACGGATACTTTTTTTCCCCTTCACTACTTTGTTTCAGTTTCAAAGGTCCTTAGTGCAGGAGAATTAAGGCCTGGGCTATGGTTAAAGTTAAAATAACGATAGCATTTCTTCAGGCAATCATTCTTTGCCGAATTCCTGAGGAATGTTTCTGGTCTGGTTTTAGCTCACTCACTAGTCCATGTGTTGTTCAGCCTATGGCAATAGTAAACAACTCAGGATTCAGAAACAAGAAATTTATAGAAGAGTTTTTAAAAACGTATTCAAGTATTACGTGGATTTAAAAAAATTCTAACCTGCTTTACACTTTGGAATGATTTTGAGACGGGAACCAGGGTAGATTTGCCTCATTAAGTTTATTTTTGTTGAGGTTAACGTTAAAACTTGTTTATATTTTTTGAATAAATACCAACTGGCCGAAGGATTCTAGACGTGATGGCTAAGGATCTAATTTGGGAACGATCTATAACTAAGTACTTAGACAAATCACAATGTATATAAATTACCTGGAGATAATTTAGCGTTGACTTTGCTTTTTTCCTCCCAGAAACATCTGGCCTGCTACATTTATGCGGAAGAAAGAAAACGGGATGAAGTCTATGCTATTTCTACTCTAGAAAAATAGTTCCCTTTTAATTGCATTTTAATATTTACTTTACATATAGCTTACTCACCAAAATATATTTTTCATTAAATTATTTTTCTATTACAAAATCTAGTATCATTTCTTAGAGTCACTGATGTAAATTTCCCTCAGTTTATTCATTACTCCAGTATCCCCTTGCTCTAATCAGACCTGCCTCCTAGGGTCACACAAGACATCCTTACTTCTGTGCTTTTGCTCATGGCGCTGCCTTCACTTAGGATGATCTCCTACCTTCATCCGGCAATTGACGTCTACCACTTCCTTCAAGATCTGGATGATGTCTGACTTTTGCCAAGAAATTTCTGCATATTGTGACAAATCCTTTACTATGTACTAGCTTTTGTGGTAGGAGGGAGGATGCAAAATTGAATTAAAGAATGAAAGCTTTCACTTCCGCTCTAAAAACACACCCTGGAAAATTATCTGAGCTACACTCTAGTCTGCAGGTTCTGTAATATTAATAACAATAACAGCAAAACTTACTGAGCATATACTATGTACCAATTACAATGCTAAGTGTTTGACATGCATGATCTCCTTTAATATTCATAACAACCCCATGAGGCAACTATTTCAAGGTTACATAGCTAATAATTTGGGAGCAAAGACTTCAGCCTCTAAGTCTGCATTCAGAGCCTGGTGATTAACCACTGTGCCTTCCCTACACTACACTCAGGCCACTTACAACTTCTTTCCTTAGTCCACTTTGTTCACGTCTTTACACTATTTGTGCAAATGTGTTATTTATCCACGAGACATTATGCTCCTGAAAGCACTAAACCCATACCCTGCTCTAGTTAACAGAGAACACCACAAATAGTTATTCAATAAAATAAAGACACATACACATAAACACACACACACACACACACACACACACATGTTTTCTAATCCGAATAATGAAGATTTTTTAACTCTATGTTTTATTTCACAATATATTAAGTATCTCACAGAAAATATCCCAATTCCTTCATAATTCCTACTGAACTATATTTTCTACACACACAATATACTCAGTAAATGCTTACTGAATAAATAAAAGGATGAAAGAGGCATTGAGTAGTTCAATTACTTTCAAAATTAAAAATATGTTACATAAATATTACATAAGGGTCTCCTCACCAGTGTTTGTTACTTTCATTTATCTTTTTTTTTCTCATATGGGTTCCCAGTTTAAAATAAAAACAATATATCAAGAGAATGGAAATTAATTATGTAAAGGGAATAATACCAATAAAGTTTCTAAGAGTCAACAAATCCCACTAAGAAATAGGCCTATAATTTATGGCTAAAACTTGCTACTAATTTACTGGTAAATACTGCTCCAAATCAGAGGAAACTACTATGGAATCTACTATAAATTCCCCTTAAGTGTGGTAGCTATGTGCTATGGTCTGAATGTTTGTGTCACCCTAAAATTCATATGTTGAAATCCTAACCCCTAAAAATGATGGCATTAGGAGATGGGGGCTTTGGGAGGTACTTAGGTTGTCAGGGTGGAGCCCTCATGAATGGGATTAGTGTTCTTATGAAAGAGACCCCACAGAGCTCTCTAGCCCCTTCCACCATGCAAGGACTCAATGAGAAGTCTGCAACTGCAAGAAGGCTCTCGCCTGGCCCATGCTGGCACCATGATCCTGGACTTCCAGCCTCCAAAACTGAGAAATAAATGTTTATTGTTTATAAGCTACCCAGTCTGTGGTATTTTGTTGCAGTAGCCCAAATGGACTAATGCACTATGTAATTTATACTAACTCTTATTCTGCAATTCTGATCTAGATAATGCTATTAAAAATTAAAACATAGGTGTAACAATCTGCATTATAATTTAGACATATGTAATTAACTCTTCCTTTCTATAAGTATAGTTTTTAGATTGTTGTTCTGTTTAACTTTTGGAGATAACTTAAGGGAAAGGGATTTTTTTCTTCATATTTGAGTCAATAGACAATTTACAGCTTGATAAAAAAAATCCTTCTTTTATGAGTAGCTTATACAATTAATCCTTTATTGTTTTAAAAAGTCAATAAATCATTTCATGGTAATTAAGAACCAATATTATTGAATTCACTGATGTTCTGTGAATACTGATGAAACCAATAATATTGAATTCACTGATGTTCTGTGAATACTGATGAATTTCTGCGAAATACTGATGTTCTTTCTAATTTATATCTATATAGTCTCTTCTGAAAAAACAAAACATTTTTTTTTCCTACGCCATGCTCCCATCTATAAGCTCTCTGAAAGATGCATTTAATATATCTCACCAGTATTTCATTAAAAGGACAAGGCAACCTAATCTTCACTTATAAAAGAGTTTTCATTATTGGTTTCAACAGTTTGTTGATTATTACAGCTTCACAGATACTGTTATGATAACGCATCTTTTAAAATTTCAACCCTTTGTTTAATAAAGGTCATAATCCAACAGGGACCACTGCACAATACATTCATTTTGCTCTTTTATTCACGAAAGAAAAAAGGCATAATGCATCTTTTTTTAAAGTCTCTTAAGTCCCATTATGTACTCCTCATTGAGAGACAGTAATTGAAAAAAAGTAACAGGAAAGAGGAATTAAATGTGCATTTACTTGTATCAGACATATCTGTAGGGCTGTTGTCCGAACAAGTAATTGGAGTCTGTTCTGTTTTCTTGTATCCGGTTTTTATCTATGAAAGAAAATAAGGAACGTGAAATGTCATTTTCTAAAGTAGGTCAAAGACCAGACTAGAAGCTCATGTTAACATAAAAAGAATGGTTAAAGAGATTAAAGCAATAGTCTAAAAAATATAAAGCCTCTGAAATTTCGGTATATTCATCTTCAAACAAAGCAATTCAGAATTAAAGGTAACAACTGCTTTCAGCTCCACCATGTCCAAGGACAACGAAACATAAAGCTGTGTACCTTGTCTTTGAAAAAGTATTATAACGCCAAATAAAAAAGTATAAGGAGCTGACAGGAAATCTTATACTCTGTACCTAATTAGCACGTACCCGAAACTGAAGTTACCTTTGATGAATTTTATGCCAATGACTGAACGCCTACCTGAGTTTCCTATTTTGTTTTATAGCTAACACAGATTTAAAGAGTATATGCTCTATTTTATAACTTTGATTTGTTAAGGCACTGTAGCAATTAGTAATTAATTGTTTCAATTTTGACATAGAAACCCTTCCTTTTCTGTGATTCTACTAGGGTGAACTACATTCTAGCATACACATGTGAGGGAATAATATCCACCTACACTGGATGGTTAGGATTAGCCTCACTGTGTAGGAAAGAAGCTAAGGAACAAAAAAGAAGATTGCCTGTCTTCAGTCAAGCAGAAAACAGAAATAATAATGAACTGAACCGTATTAAAGACAGTCTGAAAATAAATATGACATTCCTAACATAGTTTTGAGTGAAATCTAGGCATATCTTTGTGATGTCATTCCTGATCGTGATTTTCTGGACAAAGGACACACTGACTTGAAAAATTATATTTATTGACAGCACAGCATAGAAATTTTAAACAGAAAAAAAGAAAAAAATCTTTCAAGGAAATACCAATTTGTTAACAAACTGTACTAGCAAAATTATAATTCTATATGTATATACCAAACATAAAAACATATAGGGGATTTATTGACTGCATAAATAAACAGAGAAATTTAAGATTACCTGATTTATCTTAAAAGAAGGCAAAATGGCATCTGTAGTTTTGGGAGTTGATGAGGTCTTTGGAATTAGCATTTCAGGGGGAGAAGAAAGAAGACTGAATGTTGAGGCTTGACGTCCATACTCTCCTGAAGCTTGTAAAAGGGATGTACACGATGGATTTTCTGGATGACCGCCATCAGATTTTTGTCTTATAAATGCTATCTCCCAAGCAGATTCTGACCTAGCATCAAAACAAAATCACTCTATGGATATAGTACAATTCAACTCTAAGATAATGTTTCAAATATTATCAAAAAATACTTCTTTTAGGGTCTAAAGTACTTAAGACATCTTAAATTACTATTTCTAAGGAGATATGCTAAATGACTCATTCTATCTTACGGATAGGAGAGTTACCTCAACTTGGCTCTTGTAATTATGCTTTTTGCTTCTTCAAATGATACACCAATCATAGATTCCTTGTTTATTGAGACAAGCTGATCTCCTGGCTTCAAACGTCCATCCTAACAAAAATAGTAATATTTGTAAAGAAACTAATGAGGGTGTTTTTAAAAAATTAATTGATGCAATTAAAGCAAACAAAAGGTTTAGTGAAGAATGTCTCAAACAAAGAGTAAAAAGAAAATCTTAGGCAAAGAACCTCAACAGAAAAAGTTTTGATTAAAGCCTGGTTTGGTAATATATGTGAATGAAATGGAACGGTTTATGTATACCTTGAATAAACTTGCAAGCTAAGGAATCCTGAATATGTGAAGACATAGCCCAGTACACCAGGAAAAAGAGACCTGTTTTAAAAAGCTGAGGACTGAGACAGATACAGCTCTGACTCGTGATAAAGTAGGTCAAATAATCCTAGGATATTTCAGAATATAAGACTCGTTCACTTTAGTTTCTGAGCATTCCTATATCTTTCATCCCACCAAACTGTTAAGATTTATTGCACAGCAAGAATCTTCAAAAATTCAGTCAAGGATCTTAATTATATTGATCCTGCCCATATTTCAGCTTATGATCAAACATCTTTACTGGACCTGCTGTCCTGCTTGTCACTCAGGCTAGTTCATTGCGCATATAGCTTTAGTTGTGTCCTGCTAATAATGACCACTCATAATTGGCTGCCTGGCATTGTCTTTACTAAGTCACATGGCTTAATCAATAGGCTCTGCCTATCAATGAATAACCTAACTGAACAGCGTAACTGAATAAGATAGAGCATATCAGTTACAGGATTCAGTGTATCTGTTAGGCAAGTTTCTCAGTTTTCATCTGTCTTTTCTCTTAATTCAAACTGGAAAAGAAGAATGAGCTCTCCTCATTTTCAGCTCCTAAGATCCTTCTCAATTTATCATTCATACAAAGACAGAAAGCATTATTTCTATAATTAGGGAAGAAGCTTATATGGTTAAAAAGCCAGATTTTCACCCTGATGGCATTTAAGTAAATTGCACAAATTCAAGGAAATATCTTTCTTCAAAGTCTTATCTACCAAGATAGATCCCTTGGACAGCTGATCTTTGATCCAAACTGCATTATATGTAATAATGGTGACTTATGGTTACTTTACTGCTAAATAACAATAGTTATTTTTGTTTTTTAAAAAGCCAGCGCTCTTACACTGAACACTGAGTACATAAGCACACAATTAAATAAATATAAAATATTTATCAAAAAATGTTATGGGAACATGTTATCTCAAATATCGTACGAAAGATACTATAATCTAAATGTATAATGACAGTATTACCCTTCTGAATTATAAATATTATTAAAAAATGAAACTGAAAAAGGCAATTTCATTTTAAAATATATAAAATTTGAAAACTAATTTGAATTTTATAAATACATGATGAAATGTAACTAGCAAAGTCAGAGAACATAACACACAATTGCTATATTCACAAGTGATTTTTTTTCCTTCCATTTGATAAATGTATGGGGAGTAAAACCCAACAGTAATGCTGGAAAACACTAAGCAAGATGAGCAATATGGATCCTACATATTCAGTAAAACAAAAGAGGTGATTTTGTAAGATTTCGTAAACATAGTTCTGTATTGCCTGGGTCCAAATCTTACTAGAGTTTGGTTACATATGCATTTAAATCAACTATACCCAGACTATACTTAGACACTTATGTACACTAGTTTGCAATTTAATATGCTAAATTTTAGTTTGATGACAGTCATTCACTCAAGGTTAAGGTGAAATGGTAATAAACAAGAAAAACAACCTTTTTTGCCACAGGCAAAAAAATAAGGCTAAGAAAAGTTAGGGAAGAATAAACAAAATTCTAGAGTGCTTATATCTGGGAGGGAGGGTGGAGAATGTGATCGGGGAAAACACACAGGAAACCTCAGTAGTACTTAAATTTTCTACTTCTTAAGTCAAGCGGCGAACTCTAAGTGGATTGATAGGTGTTCACTTTATTATTATGCTTCATAAGTTAGGTAGATGTTTCAATATTCTTTTGTGTGTGTCAAATATTACATTATAAAAAAGAAAAGAAATTCTCCAACCCCCCAAATAAAAAGAAAGCTCACAACGTTTGCCTCAACAGTGTGCTTAACTAGGTGAACTATATTTTGGTTCTATATTCCAAAACCAGTATTGGAAGTAAGGGTCAAATAGAGAATTTTTTTAAATCTAATTTTAAAATTAATTAATTAATTAAATGTTATTGTTAAATCCAGCTCTAGACTATTTGGAATGTGCAAAATAATTTCTCATTAGAATCAATTCAATAAGGTAGATTGTAACTGAAATTTAATGACTATAATACTCCTGACTTGTACTCCAAATCCTGACAACAATTTAGGAGAAAAAAAGGGAAAAATGAAGAAAGCCCTGCTTTGTTAGAGCAAAGCATTTAAAGGACACTGACAAGGAAAGAAAGGTTCTTTCAGAATTGGGGTGGTGGTCAGTAAATATTAGGTTATTTTGTTTTAATCTAAATGTTCTTGGTATTAAAGCTCCTTCCTTTTATTAAACTTCCTTGGAAAGGGAAAATTCTATAATGATGACTACAAGTCAGATGGCAACACAACCATCTTTCATTTGGGCAGGAGGCTTCAGAGGCAGTGGGCTGAAGTGGCAAGAGCATGAAGTTTGGCAACCAGATAGACCTGCATTCGGATTTGAGCTCTACAACTTGCTAGCTATATCTTCATGAACAATGAGACAGCGAGAGAAGGAAGGAGATGGGGGGTGCACAATCTTCTCCATAAGAACTCAGAACTAAATTCTAAGTTGTTAGAGGCAGCTCCTGTATCAATGTACCTTGTAGAGACCACAGTTGGTTGTTAGGGTTGTGGAGAAAAAGGCTACAGAGAACAGAGGTAGGCAATAGGGTTTAGGCTGACCTACTACCTCCCCGATTCTCCCCTCAGCCTGTACAGGACTACAGTACAGAGGACAAGGCTCTCAGGACGGCAGTTCAACCTATCTTCTATTAAAGTACACTGATGCACCGAAGCAGCATTTTCTAGCAGGACAAAGAGTCAGAGAAGAGAGGAAGAATAACGCCTTCTGGTGTTTATATATTTTTTTCTTTCTAAAAAGTATTCACAGCAGTTTTTTCTTCTTTGCCTCCTAGAATAAGATCTTAGCTGATCATGTGAATTTCTGAACCCGTTTAAAAGTCAGAACCTGAAAACTAAAACAAAGCTATTTCTGTAAAAGTCTAGCATTCAAAACCAGTGAATGCTGCCCCAGCTGGATTAATGTATATGTGAAGATACTAACTTCAGGGATATGCTGAGGCCTCTTCCACACCGTCTAGATTCTCACTCAGCAGTTACTGAGCAACTATATACAACACAGCAGGCAACGTGCCAGGCATTTTCACATGCCCCACTTAGAGTCTGAATTCTTTCACGCTGACATTTATAAAGACGTTGAAATAATAATGTATTCCTGACCACTTAAACACTTCTGTGAAAACTACCAGCACTGTTCATTTCAGATTATGATGTCTATTATCTAGTTTTTTAAACAACATGCTACCGTATTATCAGAAACCATCTATACAGCCTGACTCTGATTTGACTAACTCGTTATTCCTAACTACTAAGGAAGGCTCCTGCAAGCCTTCGGATTCCTTTCCTATACTTTCATAAACTTTCCACTGGAGGTATCCTTCTTTTAATCCCAGTTATTAATATGAGTTTAGGCAAGTTGTTCAACCTCCATGAGATTCCATTTTCTTACCCAAAGTGGGGATAAATACCAATCACACAAGGTTGCTATAATAATTAAATAACATATACAAAATCCTTATACATTGTAGGTGTTAAATACAGGTGAGTTGAATCAGAATCCCTTATATGTTATGGGCAAGTTTCACATTGATAGCAAATTTAATCCTGTTACTCCTCAAATTAAAAACCTTTGATGGCTGGCCACTGGTAGAAAAGTTGAAACTCCTTAACTTCCCAAACCCAGCAAACAAACTAGCTGCAATCTATTTTCTCTAGCCTCATCCTCCACCTTCCCTCTTCAGCATATAAATTCTTCATTCTATTCTCAGAAAATGTTCTTCAAACCTTAATGCTTTTACACATACTAATTCCTGTCTAGAATGCCACCGCCCACCCTGCCACTTCTCTTTCTGATGAACTCTCACTTAAACTTCACAGCCAAAATCAAACATTATCTCTGCCATAAGTTTTCCCCACCTCCCTAGATTTACTTAATTGTTCCTTTCTCTGTGCTCCAAAAGCACTTTTACTTACCCACATTATTGCACTTACTTTGTACTGTTCTTATTTTATTTTTTTTAAGAGGAGGCCAGCCTTGCTGGGGAATTTTTTTTTTTTTTTGAGGAAGACTGACCCCACGCTAACATCTGTTGCCAATCTTCCTCCTTTATTTTTTTTCCTCCCCAAAGCCCCAGTACATAGTTGTAGAGTTGTAGCTCTTCTATGTGAGGCGCCGCCTCAGCATGGCTTGATGAGTGGTGAGTAGGTCTGCACCCAGGATCTGAACTGGCAACCCCGGGGCCGCCGAAGCGGAACGCACGAACTCAACTGCTATGCCACCAGGCCGGCCCCTGTACTGTTCTTATTTTTTACATATCTTTTTTCTCCCATTAGAGCATATTAATTCAGCAACTCCCAAACTAGCAGCACTGATTCTTTCAGGTGGCCAGAACCATGTCCTTTCATGGTTTTTTCCCCCAGCATAGTGTCATTTACCTAATAAGTCCACAATAAATTAATAAGGCCCAGGAAATAGTCTGAGGAAATTAAGATGGCTCTCACAGAAACAATAATGGCAAAGGAGGAAAGAGAGCTACATTGCAAAGTAAACCCTCCTGCCTGCTTCTTCTTTAGCTCCTACCAATGGACTGGTTTCTTTACCAGGGAAAAAGCCTTGGTCCTAGTTCCAGTGACATGCTCAGCATATCCTGAAAATAGATTTCCTCTGAGAGTTAAATATGCACTACTTCAATCCTTTGTGAACAATGACTAACCATTAGTACCTATATCTGTGTGATCTTTGTCTTTACCTATACGGTTTGACCAAAAAAGTCCTGAATTTATCAAATCTAAGATGACAATGATTGTAAGAAACACCATTATTTTATGAATCACTAAAAGAAAAAATGCTGCCAATTATATTATGACATTTATTGTAAGATCCATCTCAATTTCAGAGAGTCTTAGAAAGAGAGAAAAAAAATGTATCAGGTTTGAAGAAAAGCATTTGATTCCTGCCTGCTTTCTTTACGTTATTAGCAGAAAAACAAAGAAACAAACAAAAACACTTGAAAAATTCAAAGTGTTGTCCAGAATGCAACACAAAGGGCCAGGGAGGAAAGGTACCTTGGTGTAGAGCCCAGATGGTGGCAGTGGAATTGTAAACAGGTATACTGGTAATTCTCGGAAACATGACAGAATAACTAAGGGATCATTCATTCATAAATATTGAGCAATTAGTATGTGTCAGGTATCACACTGGGGACTAAGGATATTATTGTGAATAAAATCAGGTAGAATCCTTGCACTTAGGAAGCATACTGTGTTGTGGTTCAGGCAGAGTTAATAAAACAATCACAGATATTAGTATATGATTACAAACTGAGATAAGCGATATGAAGGAAAGGAACAGGATCTAGGAGCACACATAGGAAAAAAAAAACCTGGCCCACACTGGGGGGGGAGGGACAGGGAACACATTCCTTAGGAAGTGGTCTTTGAATTGACATCTAGAAGTAATGGGAAAGTTGGGGGAGGAGTGGGGGGGTGTTCCCAGTCAGAGAAAATAGCATATGAGATGAGAAAGAACTTGGCCCCTTCCAGGAACTGAAAGAACGCCACTCTGGAAACAGAGATGGAGAACCAGAGAAGTAGAGAGCAGAAGTCACATTACACAGAGCCTTGGAGGCAACTAAGTATTTGTAAGATAGGTTGGGGGGGAAATGGGCATGATGCATAAGAGCAGACAAAGCTATTGTGAGGTCTGATGAAAACTGATGGTAGTTTAAGCTATGGTGATGGCAGTGGAGATCAAGAAGACTGATGGGTTCAAGAGATATGTAGAGAGTTAAAAAACCAACAGGATGTGCTAATGAATTGAATATGGGTGCTAAGGGAGAGGCAGTAGTTAGGATGCTGTTAGGTTTTCTGACTTGGTGCAACTAGAAGGTGTCATTCACCATGAGTGGTAACACTGGAAGAGGCCCCGTTTGGGAAGAGATGGGCAGATGAGGATATGGGGTGACTATCAACGAGTCCTGCCACAGATATGCTGAGTTTGAGATCCCTTTAAGAGATACAAGTGGAAATGTTGGTGAGGCAATTGGATATGTGGGTATGAAGCTCAAAGAAGTATCTAGGCCAGAAAAAGTTCTAAGATTGAACACTGAGAACTCCAGCCTGATATGTGACTGGCTGGTGGGGTGAAAAGTGCCTCAGAGTTCTTGTATATCCTTAATTCAGTGCCTAGTATATTGTCCCCAACCCACAGGCTGCCTCTAGCTCTTAGAGCTGGGAGAATATTCTTTCCTACTTGAACTGGAAAAATGTGTTCAAGATATCCCAAGTTTGAACTCTGAATATGTTTTTCAAAGAAACATGATATTTTGGTTACCGAACCAGTATTGTATTTGTATTTGCCAGGTGGAAAACATTTGTGTGTATGTAGGGGGGCGGGGAGGAGGACTAACTATGATTAATTAAAGAAGATTCCCGCTGAGTTCCAATAACTCCCTAACATATGAAGTTTGGGAATATAAATGGAATATAATCCATCTATAAGCTTGACATTACCTATATGGTTAGTTCTGAAACAACATAATGTTAAAATTAGAGCAAGTGAAAGCACTTACATGCATTTAAAAAATATTAACAGTTGTTCAGTTCAACAGCTTAATAAAGATAACCTTATGAGCCTGTGTTTTCTAGTCTATGAATACATCTACTATGTAGAAATTTTGTGCAGTTAGGAATTTATTAACATTCTAACACAGTATTTAGAACACAGTAAATGCTATTATTATTAATTAAAACATATTTTGAAATAAAATTGCATCCATTTTGTATTTGCAGAGTAAATATGCATATAACTCTCCATCTTGAGGAAGTATACAAAAATAAATGTAAGCACTGCAAACTTACTTATTCTTCTCCGACTACACTTTCTCTATTTTGGCTGTTCTCTTCTCTTCGACATGACCAGGTACAGCCAAAGAACATTAAATAACTCTGTGCTGCTCTCTAGTGGTAAATATAGAATATAGTCCACTACGGGGTTTCGCTTTTTAAAACCCTTTCAAACAATAAAATTCTAAGAAAATCAATAAGAGGAAGTATACATTATGGGTATAATTACTTAATCTGCTATCACTCACAGCAGAGGAAGAGTCACTCAACACCACTGTTATCAATTTATTACTCCAACTACAAATATTTTTCATGGGAATGAAACACAAATTGATGCTTGTCTTAAAAGCAAATTTTCATCACTTGCTGGGTACCGTGATCTATTATTGCATTATAACAAGTGTAGTCTAAGAAATACCTTAGCTATACTGAACATACACACATACACACACACATACACATCTCAGCTTTAAAACTAAAGGAGTACTAAACATTTCAATTCTTACAAGAAAACCTTCATATTTTTGTTCGTTTGAATTTCTTTAAATTTAGCATTTCAATATGATGTTATTTGGTTAATAATTTAAATTCAATAGCCAAAAATTTCTATTATAATATCCTCAACTTACTGTATAATACTTACAACTTGGTAAATGTATTTGGAAGATACATTATTATCTCAACAAACCTGAAACAACTGAAATAATTTCTATTATTTCAGAAGTTATTAGTGAAGCTGATTTTTTTTTCCTGACAAGAAAAAATCCAGTTGAATAGATAAAATGCTTGCTAAACAAATGTTAGGGGTGGGGATGGGGGTAAGGGCAGAGCTATTTATTCAACCAAAACAATAAGAAAAACAATAATACGAACAAACTTAATGATAACAGAAACCCTTCTCATCCTATTATTAATAGGATATTTATTAAATTCTTTATATCTTATAACTCTCTAAAAAAGACTGGAAGCAATTTTCAATAAAAGACATATATAATCACATTAGTAAAACAGAAACAACAAATGAAATCCAAGAAAAATGAGAATGCAAATATAGTAACCAGTTTGTAAGCAATGTCGCTAGTACTGTGCTTCAAGTTTGGGTCAGAGCTTCCTAGCAATCAGAGCAAAAAGGAACTCATTATTTACATGTTTCTTACACTGAAAAGAAGAGTAAGATTTTCTAATTCCTAAAAAAGGATATTTTCTGATCTTAATTCTAGATCTAATTTCTCATGTGGGCATATAATTCGTGATATAATTAACAAACTCAACAAGAATTACTGTAAATTCAGAAATGAGTGATTATATTTGCCGAGTGTTTTTGTCTGTTTTGTTTCGTGTTTAGGAGAGGCCAAATGAATGTCGTTTAAGTGATCTGACTTAATCCAAACTCAGAGCAATGAACAGACAACACATCTTCAATATAATTTCTCTCAACCAGACACAGGATAAGAGTTGAACAGTATATAATTATAAATATACAACCTTTAGTTAGAGCCTGAACTCTGTTATTTTCATATTTATTTCACATTCATTTGTTAGGCTAAAGCTCCTTAAGGGTAAAGGTCTATCTTCCCGTCCCTTTGTATCTTTCACAGAAAAATGGTCACAGTGGACATTCAGTTAATACTACAAATTAACTGATGAAGTAGAAAAACAAGACTCATCACGAGTGTTTTTGTCTTTTGGTGAAGGGTTATTTTTATTTTCATTTTTACCTTATAACAGTCTCCTCCAGGAATGATTTCCTGAATATATACCAAGGGACCTTCATTCCGGTTAATTCCTCCTAGGATCTTCAGACCAAGGCCTGTTTCCTTGGTAACTGTAATCATCTGAAAGGCAGGATCCCTAAGATAAAATAAATTAGCACTTGCAGGTTAGTCTAGAGATCTGTACCTACTTTTTCTTTAAACTACTTGGTAAGTCAAATTCTTAGCCTAGACAACTCAAAATACTCAGTACATACTAGCAATTACATTTTAAAAAGTATGGTGATACAACAGCAATCAAATGGATTTTCTTACCTATATTTTTAATTTCTCTAAAAAACAACCAAATAAAAGAAATAATAGCAATAATGCTTATTTCTTTGGAGAACCAAGGAAAATACTTTAAAAATATTATTTAGATAAATTTAAACATTTATTACAGGTGACTGAAAAGATTTGTTTTTAGTTGATTTTAAACTACACTGAAGAACTCCAATACTAAATATTTTAATGAGTTAGGTAATGACTTTAAAAGATACATTTGTGGCCACTTAAAGCAAAATAAATATGACCTCCATTTATTTATTTTTTATTGTTTTTATATTTTGGTGAGGAAGATTTGCCCTGAGCTCACATCTGTTGCCAATCCTCCTCTTTTTTTTGCTTGAGGAAGATTAGCCCTGAGCTAACATCTATGCCAATCTTCCTCTATTTCATATGCGGGTCACTGTCATAGCATGGCTGATGAGTGGTGTAGGTCCGCACCCAGGATCCAAACCCACGAACCCCGGGCTGCTGAATTGGAGTGTGCCAAATTTAACCACTACGTCACAGGGCTAGCCCTAATACGACCTCCACTCAAATCTCAAAAAAACAAAAAAGTTTATCTTTTTCATTCAGAAAGAGTATTTTCGTGGTGCAAAGCACTTGCTCTAGCTGTCATTTCTGCCAGACACAAGAGCAATGCCATTAGAAAAGAAGGAACTGTCAAAAGAATTCTGCAAAAGGTATACCACCAAGTGACATTTCCGAACACTTTGGTCAGAGCAAAGACTTTTACTGGTCAATAAAGTTTGCAATAAAGCTTAGGGCTGCCTGCTTACTTATTATGTGCTGGGTATTGTGCTAAGCAATATACATATATTATGCCATTCAATTTAGTATTTATAAAATCCCTAAGATTCTTATCCTCATTTTTCTAAAAGGACCAAAATCTGGGAAGGTTAACTTGGTGGCCTAAGGTTATAAAGCTGGAGAACAGGCAATGGGAATCCAGTCTGTCCTCCTCCAGAGTACCTGCTTTGTTGGTGTCTTAAAGCCACTGTTGAATATAGGAGTTCTAGTTAAGATCAAACATATCAAAAAACTGAAGCTGCTATTAAAAAGTTACTTCATATCTTACATATGCTTATAGCTTTCTTACTTTCTGCCATAGAAATTCTATCTTTAAGAAAACTTGTATTCAAAAGTTAGACTATAAAAAAAAGAATGAAAGAAAAATTTTAAAAACCTTACAAAACTCATGTTTTTGAATATTTTGCCCTCTATACAGCACATTATTTATGGTCGCATTATGTTAAATTCAGCTCTAGTGTTGGAAGGCCTATCTGGGTAATAGGGCAATAGTCAATTAGCTAGGAAAAAAGGCAGAAAGGACTGGGTCCAAAATGTTCTACTGCCATGGATTTCAGAACCTCAACCCATCCTGATGGGATATTAGGTTGCAAGGGCAGTAAGGAGTGAAGCCTACAAATGAGAGAGACGAAGGATAGAGGGAACTAAGGTACTTCATTAGGTACCTCTCGTAACCTCTTAAACCCTCTAAAGTGAATTTTCTTCAATGGGGACACACATAATCTCTGGCATACATTGTTGTTTCAATAAAGGATCTCTCTCTTTTTTTTTTTTTAATAATTTTATTTATTTATTTATTTTTTCCCCCAAAGCCCCAGTAGATAGTTGTATGTCATAGCTGCATGTCTTTCTAGTTGCTGTATGTGGGACGCGGCCTCAGTATGGCCGGAGAAGCGGTGCGTTGGTGCGCGCCCGGGATCCGAACCCGGGCCGCCAGCAGCTGAACGTGCACACTTAACCGCTAAGCCACGGGGCCGGCCCTCTTTTTTCTAATCTAAGAGAGTACCTACTGTTAACACAGCAGTGTATTTACTTGCTAGGACCTTATTTTTAAATTCCCCTACTATTAAGAATTTATATTACTTATTTATTTCTGTTTTGCTATTAAAAATAGTTCTGCTGCTCAACTTTAATCATAATAAGAGAATTACAAATTAAAACTAGGCAGAGATACAGTTATTCACCTATCAGATCAACGTCAATTTAAAACTTCGACAATATACTCTGATGACAAGGCTGTAGGAAAAGTGGTACGCTTGTACGTTGTTGGTGGGAATGCAAAAGGGCATCACCCCTAAAAAGGGAATTTGGTAATCTCTACGTTTACCCTCCAATCCAGCAATCCCATTTCTAGGAATCTATCCTAAAGATACTCGGGCAAAAAATACTTCAATGACTTCATTACTAGATTATTTGTTTTGACAAAATTTGTAATCCCCCAAAATTGCAAACAATTCAAATGTCCATCAATAAGGTACTGGCTGAATAAACTATGGTACATCTACATGATAGAATACTATACACTTATAACAAGGTACAAGAAGATCTTGATAAACTATGATAGGAAGTGATCACCAAGATATAATTTTAAGTTAAAGAAAAAGGTAAGGTCAAAACAACATATATAATATGCTACCTTTTTGTTAAGAATATGCTGGCGAGTGGAGCCTGGGAGATGGAGCCTGAGTGTTTTGAGACATCTTACCTCAGTCATATGATTCTTTCCCATGGGCTTGATTCTGACCTAAGTATTTGGACAAAACTCTGTGCTGTCCCAGAGAGTAAAGCTGTTCAGCACCAAGGCATGGAGCTCTATGCATGGAGCTCTTTGCATGCCACACAGCTGGGCACAGCTTGTGCCCTTGGAGCCTAGAGCTTTCCAGGGCTCCCAGGAGGAGGTATCAGAGAAAGACACCCTGTATTTAACTGGCCTGACACCTTTCTCCAGAGAAGATCTGTCAACTTGAGCCAAAGGGCTGGTGTACACTTGTTTACTGTATAAGCAGGAGTAGAAGAATGTCTAATGTACAGTGGAACTTTGTACAGGATAAATAATAGATTTGAGAAAAATATATATATAATTATTATGTGTGCATATATATACACACACATACATAACATGTATGCATATTTATATGTATATGTATTTGCTTATGCAAAAGGAATCAAGAACATACTCTATAGCAGGAATGAGGGCAGAGAGTGAAGGAAGAGAATGAAAGCAAGACTTCTCTGAATATACCTCGTCATATTGTTACATGTTTGCAAAATGGCCACAAATTCTTTTCATTCCTATCTGCATGCCCCTTAGAGTGTGACTTTACTGTTCTTTTCATTAAAAGGTAAAGTCTATATCTCTACCCCTTGAATTTGGACTTAATTATTTGAATTGCTTCAGCCAATGGTACACCAGCAAATGTGAGGGAAATAGATACTTGGAAAACACTTGTCCTTGTCGCTGGGAACCATTCTGCTACCATATGAAAAAGCCTGAGCTAGCCGCCTGGAGGATGAGAGACCAGGTCAGAAGAGACCTCTGCCACCCAGCCCTCCCTGATGGGGCTCCAGAACATGTGAAAGACGCCATCCTACATCATCTGGTGCAGAACAGAACTGCCCAGCCAACCCAGAGAATCATGAGAAAGAATAAATGCTTGTTGATTAAGGCACTTTAGGGTGGTTTGTTACTCAGCAAAAATTAATCTTATTGTAATTTTTTTTACTATTGGAATCATAAAACGTTTTAGATATTCAAAAAATCAGATCAAATGTTTAAAAAGCAATCTCTGTAATTAATTCTAAAAGAGAATGCAGAATTTGTTCTATACGCTGACTTACATTGAAAGGTAATTATTGATCAACTTTCTCATTACTGCTATCTTAGACCACAGGTAGTTAGCTGTATAAAATTTTCCACCAAATGTTCATTAATATTGTACATATTTCATACTATGATAGGTCAAAACATATTAAATCAAACTTAAGAATTACTTTTCAAGTAGACGGGATGATACCACAGCAGACGTATTCTTATTCATGGTTTCACCACAGTAGGCTTGGATTTAACAGCTGTATAAATGAAGATCTTGATGAAGAGTCTATAAATTCTTCTTTTCCTAAGATTGGAGAAGTAGAAAATAAATTGTCATGTCCTAGGACAATCAGATTTCATTTCAAATTTGCATAAAAACATTACATACCCCTGGCACATAACATGTGCATGTGTACAAATGTTAGATGTATTTTATATATTTTGGGCTATCGCAATTTTAATCATTACTGATAATATCTGAGTAAAGACAGTTCTGTAGATAGATAGATACAGATACAGGACTATATATCATTATCAATATCTCTATCTCTATCAAATCTGCATTTTCTGGCAGAAGTGAAAAATATAGTTAAACTTTAGGTAACTATTATAGCTTCTACCATTAGTAAACTTAAAAATCTCATGTTAATAAAAGACTGAGGGAAGTGTCTCTTGTGAGCTCAAGGCTGGGAAGTTTATAGTCAGAATGTCTGCAAGTAATTATACAATACACTGCTGAAGAAAGCAGAAATTCCTATTGTCTCACCAACTATATTGAGGGACTTCCTGCAGATCCTATATTACTCTGATTCCTATTACTCCACGAGCTTCTTAAATACTTTCCTATAAAAAGAAAAAAATATTATTTTAATATCTCATAGATCTCCACTGTGAAAATTACAGAGAACAGTGCAGTTTCATTTTAATTTAAAAAATTGTATTTGAACAGAGATGTACCATCTCTGCACAAGAAACATGAATGAAGTACAGAACTTCAAGTTGAAAAAGACATTAGGATCATTTAGCACAACCTTCTTATTAAAGAAATGAGTAGACAGATGCAGAGAGATTCTGTACTTTCCCCATACAAATGAGAAATAGTCACTGGTTGTTTTTCCAGCTAGACCTCAGGCTTCAGAGCCTAGAGCATGAAGCTTGACATCAGACAGAGCTGGGCTCCAATTTGAGCTTCTAGGCTTCTCTAAGCCTCAGTTTCTTCACAGGTACAGTAGGTAGTAGTGATGGGTTCACAAATGGATACACATGTCAAAACTTACCAAATTGTTTCACTTTAAAAATCAATTATACCTTAATAAAGTTAAAGTTTTTTAAAAATCTGATTTTCAGTTAAAAATGGCAACTTGACCTTGGCATGTACCTTCTTTCTCTCCAAAGAGCCCACTAATACGCGAGTAAAAGGTTACACAAACCGTATAAACTCATAATGTTAATGAGTAAATGGAGGAGAGACATCAGATGAAAATTTTCAACAAATTTCTGGAAGACAAAAAATAGATGGTGGGGTGATAATTGATAAAGGAGGACTGAATAAGCTGAAAGCTACGGGAGGCTTCTTAAACACTTTCAAGTTTGAGCACACATACAGAACACGGTAGTATTTGTGTGGTGTACTGGGGCAAACAGTGGTGGCCTGCCATACCTCTGAGAGGCTGAGGGGAAATCAATGATGCAGCACGCCAGTAACTGATTCACAGCAAAACTCTGGTCTAGGAAATAGCTGGAGGGAGATACAGGAGAAACCTATCAACCTACAAAAACAGAAACCAGTTTAAGAAGCAAAGTATTTATTTGGGATCAAAGAATTGCAATTCAGGGAGCCCAGATTCAGGTTGAAACCCAAAGTGTGTCCCGATATAGGAGAGGGGCTCAGGGCTTTTCTGGGAAAAAGGGAGGAAGATGAAGTGAGTTGTTTTAAAGAAGAAGAGTTCATTGGTGCTAGATGAGGTGAGGCTAGGCTTGTACTTCATAGATTGGCTTGAGATTCAGTCATCAGGCAAAAGGCTACACTCGTACTTCATTGATTGGTTAGTGATTCAGTCATCAGCAAAGTCCAATTTCACCAGTTCTTACAGACAGGATATTCTCATCCTTACTGACTTCTTGGAATGTTGGTGGATTGGCCCAGTTTGGAAGATAAAGAAAACAAGATGTACAAGGCAATGTCCACTCATGTCATCTTCCACAACCTATCTTACAGAATCCCAGAGAGGTTAAGGACCCAGAAATGCAAAGCTCTAGGGGGAGCAAAACTGAGACAGAGAACTAAAATCAAGGGGATTATCCCATCTCTTCTTCAACCATTGTATGCAGAAGAAATCATAGTTTCTTCTGTAAATAAATTAAATGGACCTGAAGAAAGAGCCAACTACCTTCTAGGAGCCTAACACAGAGTTGTATCACTAGCCTGGGTGTTAAAAACCTATTTCAACTTTCACAGCCCCTGTTGTAGCAGGAACAGCGGGAGCACACAAATCAATAGCAGCAGAGAAATGAAGCTACCAAGCAACACCACTGTCAGTAGGAAAACTCCAACAGCCAGGAAGCAAGGTTACTCAGTGCCCCGTGGGGAAAAGAGCAAGGACTTGAGGGAGGAGCTTAAAATGCTAGGGCTCTGAGGGGCCAGCCCGTGGCGTAGCGGTTAAGTGCGCGTGCTCTACTGCTGGCGCCCCGGGGGTTCGGACCCCGGGCGCGCACTGACGCACCGCTTGCCAGGCCATGCTGTGGTGGCGTCCCACATGAAGTGGAGGAAGATGGGCACGGATGTTAGTCCAGGGCCAGTCTTCCTCAGCAAAAAGAGGAGGATTGGCACGGATGTTAGCTCAGGGCTGATCTTCCTCACACACACACAAAAAATCCTAGGGCTTCGACTGAGTAATGACTCAGACTCAAGAACTGCTGCAGTGGTCCACAGGACTGATGGAGCCATGGAAGAGGTCAATTCTAAAACTAAGTTTTCATAAGGTCATTATAGATTGCCTTAACAATACATGCATGGGGCAGATTCTCAAAGCTCATGGGAGGAAGTTTTGACATAACAATAATAATAGCAACCACCATTTATTGGCATCATGTGTCATACACTGGGCGAAGTATTTCAAACATATTTATCTTATTTAATATCATGGAAAATGCATTAGACACAAGTAAAAAAAACCTGAGTTCAAATGGCAATACCGCTATATGCTAGCCATCTGGCCTTAGAAACATCACCTAACCCCTTGGCATCTCCTCATATTAAGGTAGGAAGAGTAACACCTAGCTCAAAGGGTTGCAGTAGGGATTAAGGTAGATGTGAAAAATTGAGCAGTCTTTCCAGTGTTTGTAAAAAGTGAGTAAGATCCCCATCTAGTGGTGATCTGTCCTAACTGGGCATGGGGGTCCCCACGTTATGCACCACATCCAAGTCTAACGGATGTGTCATTGCTAAATTCTACAATAGATTCCATGTAATGTCATACTTAAGATATTTAAAAATATTTCTATGTTAAAGTATTAAAAATAAATTTAAGTGTTTAAATGATTTCATTCACCTAACACGCCTGACAGTGTCCCGAGTACTGGAAGTGAGATTAAAAAGAGAAGTCTGTCCCCAGAGACAGTGAAATGAACAGATGTCAGGAGGGTGCTAAGTGCTCTGACAGTGGTATGCCCAGGATGCTAGAGGAGCCTGGAGGAAGGCCACCTAACCCAGAATGGAGGAGTCATCACTAAACACCAATACTACCCGGCACCATAGTAGAGGATTTTATCCTCACAGGAGCCCCAAAGGCAGGTCATATTAACCCATTTTACATAAAAGAAAACCAATCAATGGAGAAGCTTTGTGACACGTCCATGGCCACAAGGCTAAGCAGTTGTAAAGTGGAATTTGAATCCAGTTCCTCCTGGCTTCAAATGAAACCTTTTTCCTCTACGGCATGCTGGGAAATTAATTTATGTGGAAAAACACCCTTCTCCAAAAAAGTACGATGAGAGTGTTAATAGTAGTAATATACTGTCTCTCTTCTAGGAAGATGATACTATTGATTAAACTTTTTTACAGTAACGGAAATGAGTTTAATCTTATCCATCCAAACAGTAGGCTTTTTTTTTTAAATGAGTGAGGTGTCCATTGTCATACCATTAAATAGCACAAAATGCCCTTCCCTTCCCTCTCCTTTGCCTGTTTCCTACTCCTGCCTTTATATAAGCGAGCAAGGCCCTCAATCAATAGGGGTTCTAGTAATGTTACACACACACACACACACACACACACACACCTCCCCACACAACTCCACATTATTAATGAATGAAACAGAAGAAAAACATTCTATTCTCTTACTAAAAATATGCCCATTCAAGGAAAATATATTGTTTTTTCTAGTTTGGTGACTCATAAGGGAAAAGGTTAGGTCGGCCAAAAACAGAGAAAGTGGAACACTGAGGGAAAAATCTTGTTTTATAAGATGAATCTATTCCAGAAAATTTAAATTCGAGCTTTACTTGGATATATGAATTGCTTTACTTACAATTTCATTAAAAGTTTTCATTCTATATAATTAGAAATCTCATCAGATAAAAAATCTGTCCATCATGCATATGATGTTCGAATAATGAACTTAATAATTTATATTCTCAGAGACATGACATTCAATACTTTCTAAAATTAGTTCTTTCTACCAGACCAAAAATAGAGAAAATAAAAGAGAAAGGGATAGAAACATCTGAGAGAAATGATGGTAAAAATTAACTTGATGAAATTACCATAATATGAAATATTATTATGTCTTTTAATTTTTACAAATAGCTAATACATTCCAATGGGGATATATATATATATATACACACACACACGGGGATATTTATATACATCCTATCCACCTCCACAGCACTTTCACACATTTAGGTATCTATTGTTTTAGTTTCTTATGAATCCTTTTAGTTCCTTTATGCATACATAACAATATGAATACAATACATAAACAAATAGGAATAAATATTCTAATTCCATGACATGTTTTGACACAGAAAGTAGCTACAATCAGGCACAAAGCATCCAGCTGTTCAGGTTGTGCACTGCACAATCCTCAAGCGTATGGGTCATATGACTCTGATGTGCACAGGTCTCTTTTGCTCTTTTATTAACCAAGTTTCCCTGGCTATTTTTGGTTGTTTATTTTTACACGTTAACTTAAAAATCTCCTTATCTTGTTACAAAACAAAACAAAATAATGCTAATTGTTGGGGAATCATGTTAAATTTACAAATTAATTGAGGAAGTATTAGGGTCTATCTTTATG